TACCATAGTTCACCCTGCTTGGTAACAGATTTGGCGTACATAAGTAAGCCTCAGAATTCATTCCCCCTTTGCCTGACTGGAGTTCAGAAGATGGACAAACCCAAAACTGATCTGAGCTTTTCAGAAACCCAGGCCTTTAAGCACAGTGACATTGGCTTGGGGACTATCCATGATCGTGCTCAGCAGCTGGGCACAGCCTGCAGGACCTGCAAAATCAGGCCACAAAGCAGCACACCTAAAACCAAAGCCCAGGAACACTAACAACTAGACTGACGGTAGGCTTTTACTCTTCTATTCAAAACAATACATTCAATGTTAATACATCAAGCCTCATGGGGTCTTGCCCGTTAAGTTTGAGGATTTGAATCTCATGAATGCGGAATCTGCATTGTTCTCAGTGGAGGTCACTTTGCTGTGCATGTAGGAACACGCGGGTTGCTTCAACAGCTTACAAGTGTAGCAGAATTGTCAAATTCATTTTGAGCTCACCTCTGTTTCCTCTGTGTCTCAGGGCATGCAATCCCAAATCCTTGTGGTTCAGTGGGGAGTTAAAGCCATACCCTGATGCTATTTCAGGAGTAGAGCGATTGGTGCTACTTCTCTAACTCGTCTAACCACCACTGACGAGAACTTACAATAACCTTAGCTTATTCCACCCACCCAAATGAGATTTTTCTGCTTGAAAAGGGGCCAAACTTCACACATCAGCCCATATTATAGGAGAGCGGCCCTATACCACGTCTGAAATTCCTCTCCAAAGTACAACATGCATCATGATTTAAGTCATTAAGAAGGTGCCAGCAAAAGTTCAATTGAGCAATCAGTAGTCTTTTAATGTATGTTATCATACTTTCCTCTCTCTCCACCTTGGTTTAAAAAGGTCTCATGATTAATGTCACCTTTCTTCTAAAAATGTTGTGCAAACAAACAGTTCACCGTAAAGTTTTAATTTTAGGTTAATTTTCTGATAGTATCTATCTCTTTGCTTACATTTAAAATCAGTGTCCATTGAAAAAAATTAAAATTCAATCGAGACCACATTGAATGTTTAAATGTGACCTCGGGCTGCTTCTAGAGAACACTGAATGAAGGTAAATTGTAATGGTTTCTGAAAAACATCTGTTTTCATACAGATGTTTCTCATAACCACTGGCTGTAGCATGGCTGTAGACAGGTGCATAGAGCTGCAGTATGTCACCAAGTTACACATTTTTTCTCTAGGGATAAACTATATTTTTTACTGGTTACCTTGCTGCTGTTGTTTTCCTTGTCGGCACAGCAGAGTTGAATAGCTTCTTTGAGCCGAGGTGCATAACAGCTGCCGAATTATTAAAACTCAATGTGATGTTACTAAAATCCCAGTAGCTGTAATATAATGAAGCATTTCAGGCTTCACGATCCTAAAAAGTATCAATCCAATATCATAATAGAGGAGTTCAAGCAAAAACCAGATCTGAATGGAAATTACCTCCTCTAAACACAGCCCTTTCGACACTTTCAGGAAGGGATTTTCTTCAGGCATGGGACCCCAAAGCATTTTGGAGGCAATTTCCCACTTGGTGGAATAGGCTTTTTATAACTCCCTTCTTTTCTCCTCCCTGACTTCACCTTTTTAATTCATATATTCAGAGTAAAGAAAAAGCTCACAAAAGACACGAGGACCAGATACAAACAGAGAGTTTTTTCTCCACTGGGGCAATGCCACACTGGGACCTCACTGCACTGAGAGAAGATTTAAATTTTACTGTATTTCTTGTCTCAAACATTCATCTGTTCCCTTCACAAATGGAACAGAACCACTCCCATCATGCAAACAAACAGCTGCTACAGCACTTGTACTTCCCATTTGTCAATGGGAACTGAGTTTAAAACACCTAAGAAAGCGCTTCTGAAGAAACTGCTCCAGTGCAATGTGGACGATTTAATGGAAAAAAAGAAAGCCATATATTTTGGTGATAAGTCTTCTATTCTGATTCCATGGTATTCAGTTTATTCATAACTTCATAAGAAAATCTGTAGGCTTCCATAAATTCTATGTGTCTTTTGCTGTGACAATGCTAAAATGTAAAATTTTTGGTAAAATAAAAGTATTTCAAGATTATATATATAATTATATACATGTGGGATTTCTTTTAAATTACATAAGAATGTGATCATTTCTAAAACAACAGTTAAGGAAATATGAAAGCATAAAGGGGGAAAGGATTGAGTTTTGTTTCTGAGAAAGAAATAGTGTACAGTGGGCAAAATCAAGGTCTGCTTCTAAAGATATAAAAATCCTAAATTTAGGGTTTTTTCTTCTGCTTGTGTCTGAGATATTGAATATAGAGGAAACATATGGAGTACTAAATAAAATGTAAAAAAATTAAAAAAAGTGGAAAAATATTGAAAAGACAGTATCTACAGAGTGTAAGGATTTCACAATGTCACGTCAGTACTGTTTCACTTTACATAGTATTTTCCCTTTTAGAGTACATATTTTATTATGTCACTGTTTAGAATACCAAAATAATAGCATGTTTTACTAATTATTGTGTTAAGAGTCCTGAATGTTTTAAAGTTTAATTATGCACAATTAATATCGAATAGAGTTGTATTCCTTCATTGAAGCTTTTATGAGGGTTGCGAATAACCCATTTATTGCTCTATTCTCTGCCTTTCAGGGCTTCAGGTACTATTTCCATCCTTACACTCACTGTTAAAGGCACAACTAGACAGATCAGTAGCTCCCCTGCCCATTCCCCTTCCCATAGACAAGGTAGCCATAATCTTATTTTGTACTTTGGAGAACTTGTTGAACAATTGTTCTCAGATGATATACATCTTCTCTTTTGAGTTTGTTTGTTTTTTAATCTGAAAAGCTGCAAAACTGCTTTAAGATGAACCTCAATTTCACAATTAAAAGTGTGTGAAATTCTAAACCTTCTCAAAATAGAAACACTTTTCCAACTTGTTCACAAAGATGAGCATAAAATGAAGGCAAGAAGGTGTGTCATACTCTCAGTCTCAAGGAAAGCATTGCCTACAAATTCCTAGATAGGCATGAATAGTGAGATGGCCATCTCTACTTGAAGTGTTTCCCCAAAACCTATCTTAAACAACATCTTGTTTTCCAGTGCACAGTCAGTTAAGATGTGACAAAAGGAAATTTGATTCTCAATAAAGACAAATGCCTAATGAGTGATCAAAATGCAAAGAAATAAAGTGCACTACTCAAAGTAAATGTATTTTAAAAATTATATAAAAGGTTGAAAGAATTATTCCAGCATCTTAATTTCCATTGAGGATGAACAACAGTAACATTACATTTTCCTGCAGCCTTATTCGCTCAGCCAAAAATGTAGCTAAAGGCTTCTGAAGTAAGGAGATTCAATTAAAAGAAGCACCTTTTTTCCCATTCAGATCAGAGGTGACATATTTCTTTTAATGTTCTCTTTTGAATGGTGAGAAAGAGAATAGTACTTTATGATAAAAAAGATTTTTTCCTCCTTCTCCTTTCCATCTCTGCTTCATTTTACACAGGAATCTTTTCTCTTTACAATTCAGTGCAACATGTGTAAACATGGATTATACCACATCAGAAACCAAGTTAGCTATCTCAAGAGAATTTGTATCTCTGCTGTGTGTAAGTAAGCAGATTAATTCCTAGATCAGGCATTACCTAATGCATTTTCAATTCAATTTCTTCTTTTCTTTCTGCACACAAGATCAGGGAAGTGGGATTATTTTATTAATTTAACTAATATTTTGCATGTTTTCTCTGTTATCTTTCTTTCCTCCAAAATTTTTCGTTAGCTCCTAGTGAGTGATTTAGTATGAGCAAGGATGTGTAAAGACAAGAGACCTAAGCCCTCAACACCTTACAGAGAAATAAATGGCATAGGGAGTGACACACTTTTCCTCCTACTACACTACTGGGAATAAGGAATTCTCACATATTTCAAACCCTGATCTACAGCGGCACATCCTGCCTGGGGTAAGCTCAGTTATTGTACAAAATTTAGGAGAAGATTATTTATTCATTAACATTTATGCTGCTTTTATGGAAAATCTCAGAAGTAAAGAATGAGCCAGTCTGTTTTTATTACAGCAGTGCCTGCTAGCACTGTTTGAGGTAAGGGTCTGTCAACATATCACAAAAGCATGGAATTTACTGTGTAAAATCAGTCCACTGGCCCATCAAGCCTGCTAGCATGCCCCAGCTAGCACCCAAGTCTGATGCTTAAGCAGAAGATGGCACAGTAAGCCCTTAATACATCTGACTAATGTTAAACTTGGGCAGGGGCAGAGGCAAGACATTCCTTCTTGCTCTCTGCAGTGTTCATGTAACGCCCAGACAGGAGTCGATTATGTCCCCGTAACTAAGAAAGTAACAGACAGTGATAAAAATATATGGATTCTTTGTAAGTCAGCCCTGCAACTAGCCACAGGAACAGGTGTGCTACAGTGAACAGAGAAACTCATCATATATTTCTATTTTACACAAAATTAATATTCAGTCTTTTTTTCCCCCCTAAAAATCAGCTCAAAATCATTCCAACCAAGGTACTCTAAATTACCTGTTTAGGATGGAGCTTCAAATTAGGAAGGGCAAATACTTGAGAAATGAAAAAAATGTCTTGAAGATCAATAAGAAAAAGGACAGAGAAATTAGAGAAAGGAGAAGGAAACACAGCTGAAACAGTGAACAAGGAGAGATTGTAAAGTGAGGAGAAAGGCTAAGGGGTAATTACCAGAAACATAAACAAGAGATAAATATTATGAGATGGGGTAAAGTGAAGAGTTAAGCTATGTAGCTGAAAATGAAACTGCATGGAGAGAGGTGTTGGGGTGCGGACAGAATAGCAGGAGGAAGGCAATTAAAGCCATCAACATAATTTCCTCTTTCCACAATGCTCCAGATTCTCTACTGTTTAAGACCCTCAAGTTCTGCATTCCAGGTGATCTCACAGAGATATTCAGAAGTTGAACAAGATGTCATATAGGGGTGTATGCACGAAGAAGGGAACAGCAGAAGACAGGAAACAGCAGAAACTGTCAAATACATTCCTAAAAAATCAGCCAAACAGGCCAATAAGACAGGGGGAAAAAAAGTAGGAGTAATATCAATGGCTCAAGTTGATGTAGATCTCAAGGCATTTAGAGAGTTTTTGACCTGAGTTAAGTATAGTAAGGATTTTTATACCTCTTGAAATATGTTATAGTTGGTATTTCTCCTATACAATACTTTTCTTCATCCAAACCTGAACTCATCCTTGTCAGTATGCACACACATGCAGTAATAATCTATAGTGCATACCTTACACAGATGTAAGGTGATCCTGTTTGTATTCTCAAACTCCCCCTGCCACAGAACAACTCCACCCAAAACCAAACAAACAATCAAAAAAAAGAAGCAGGTTTGTTTGGTTTTTTTTTCTAAAATGAGTAATTTTTTTTTCTCCCCAGACGTTTGTGAAATTAGTTATTTTAGTTGTCACTCCTTTCGGAGAATGATGTTCATATCTAAAGTTAAAATTAATACAAATGACTGAAGAGGCACAGCCTCATTACAAAGGATTTATACACAAACCCTCTTATCAATACCAACCTCCTAGTTCTTAGACTCCTAAAGACAGAAATATGGAGCTACAAATAACATTCATTTCCCAATTACTATGCCAACCAGCTCTTTTATTATAGGCTGTATTTGCATTTGACTGACTGGCCTATTGGAAACATAGTGCTGCTACACCATCATCAAGCATTTTCTCTTTTTCAAAGACATAATCCAGACTATGTGCACCAGTGCGCTATCTGTTGCTTTAATCATTCCTATACATGATAAGGGATCCTACTCTTTGCAAATCTGGATTTTTGTTAAATACCTTCATGTTCCAATTTTAACCTATCAGTCCTGAAATGATGGGAATTCGTTGCAGATTAATTGTTTATTGGACTTATGCATGAGTCTACTTATTTTCTATTTTTATAGGTGCTACATTTGAGAATGTGTTCAAAGGAGCATTGTTTTGTATTTACATTTTCTTTACAGTTAGGATCTGCATATAATATACATAAAAAGTTTAGTCTTCTGTTATGTCATGAATTGTTGTGAACAGCCAGAATCCTACATGCCTACTTTGCATTTACAATTTTTACATAAAGAGTATAAAAATTAGTTCAATTCACAGGGTGCTAATGTACAACCCTTTTGGTGTCTGATCATCATTCCAGGGAATAATTTTGTAAGACAGGTGTTTGTTTAACCTGTAGGAAACCTGAGACCTCCAGAGTGCTGTCAAGCAGGTTCGTTCATTTCTTTGTACCTTATCTCCCATTAGAAAATATTTCCTGTTCTTTCCCTATAAATTCTCCCAGGAAGGGATTTCCTCCTTTTCCCATCTTGATTCAGACACTATAATAACAACAACACGATTATGTGTTTTGTGACATTTAATAGTCTAATCTGGATACCAAGAACTTCTTGGGGCAGAAAGCACAAATAAAAAAAAATAAAGTTATAGCAATTAAATTACCAGAATGCAAATAAATAGTCACAAATACTGTTCTCCATTATTTATGCAGATATAATTGATTTTAATCTTCTCTTATTGTTTCTCGATCTAATTGTTTCAGAGTAAGATTTAAAGTGAAGCTCTGACTGCACTGGCACACAAGTTTAACAGAAGGTCGTACACATGCTGTATGTGGCCAATGCTGGGAACTAAGGAATCGAGTAAGAAGAATATTTTGCTGTTATAAAAGTAAAATTATGGCTCTTCATAATTCTTTATATAGGGAGAAAGGAGGGATATCTATGGAAAAAATCCAGCTTGCTTCTTCAGATATATCCAATTGTCTTAACGACATTTTTATTTTATATGTATCTGTGAGTAAGGCAGAAAACTGTAGTGCTCTGCTTTGCATTGTGTCTAAAATTATACTCATCGTGGTTTCAGAACAAGAAAGAAAAGTCACCTCTCCTGCCCCACTGAAACATTTGGGGTTCTACACCTAGCACACTGGGGTCAGAAATATGGCACAAAGACTTCTGAAATAAAAAAGGGCAAGTGAAAATTGTGATATTCCATGAATTTGAAAATATTTCAGAATTAAAACAACAAAGAAAGAAATAATGAGAAAAAATACAGTTGTTCAAAACATCAACATTTTAAAGAAATCAATGTTTAAATATTAACAATTCAAAATTCTACTGGTACACTGTTTTTCAGTGATATTCATGATAAATTATGTGACTAGTCTATTGAATGCCATATTGTGGAAATACATGTATGGGAAAACACCCATTACAAGAAACACTTTTGAGATGGACACAGATTAAAACAGAGTAAGAAAATTCTGTCCTGCATTGTTACAAAGATTTCTAAAATCTTGAAATATTTCAAATTTCTTTCAAAGATCCACTCTTATCATTTCTTTCAGGGATGATTTCAAAATGGCTCTGCTCCTCCCTCTACTTTGCTACAACTAAAATTTAAAGTAAAGTGAAATCTACATCTTCATTATTTATATTATATCCAAAAGTAATGCACTATTCAATGAAAACATGAAATGCCTCACTTTTAATGGGCAGTTCAAATATCCCTATGCACATCTTAGAGGGGAAATTTTTAATTTATATAAATCCACTTTGATGATTTTTTTATTTCAATTGACAGTGCTTCCCTATATGATGTTAAAAGAGTAAGCAATGGCATTTAATTGAATCAAAAGGCAATATGATGATAGTGAGTTCAGTCATGCTTTTACTGTTAGCACTGGTGCAACGATTTATTCATTTGCCATTCCACTTACTTTTGTTTTCGAACAACCATAAATTACAGTTACACCTCTACATAACTACCAGTTGGCACATATGTGATACTGGTAATGACATATATATATATATATATATAACTAGAAGAGATCATGACAGTGTATACGTTCTATTCCAAATCAAAAGCTTTCTGACTTTGTCTAGTGAAAACTATCACTCCTGTCATGTGTATGTTCAACACCATCATAAATTTAGTGACTGGTGTGTCAAATGTGAGGAATTGCAATCAAGTTGAGAACTGTAAAGAAAATTCGAGTCAAACCACAAGAAGTTAGAGGTTATGATCAAATACAGTCAGTGATGAGTGGTATTACCGAAATGGAAATGGCTGATAAACACTGCCCAGGTCTTAGCACATCACCAGTATTAGCACTTTATCTAATTAAAGGGTTGGGCATTCAAACAGACTCTCATGTAATGAAAAAATATGGAAATTTCCAATTTTATTTTATTGGTTTTAATTCTACACTGGAATGATTTAAGATTTATTAATATATTACTTGGAGACTTTTTCTCTAGACCAGTCTAGTGGTCATGGCATGTGCCTTGCACTTGAAGCTATGCATGAGCCCCTTTGATGCCAACTTCAGGCACAGAATTAGTGTCACTCATATTTTGCAGTCCTGTGATCAAAACAACGGGTGATTCATTAAAAATTTTTTATTTGTAATTTATCCAGATGGACTTTTTTATTTATTGGAGAGTAAAAATTAATGTTCTTAAGGAGAAAGGGGCACTGCAGCCTTCATATATGCCATGCAATACTCTCAGGACTCTGCTTTGGTTTCTTTAACTAAATCTTGAAAAGTCTTATAAAAAGAGTAACCATATTTTTCAGCAAAACAACATTATGGTGCTTTGTGTTTTCTGACTGTTCATCTCCACCAGTAACCATAAACTGCTGGCACTAGTGCCAAGTTTGTTACAGAGAGATTAATGTTGGCAGCACAAGAGCTTCTGAGCTTTTTAAAATAAATTTGGCACTAAGCTCTAAAAGGGTTCATCATCACTGATCTAGATTACATCCTTCTTTATCCAGAAATAAGTTTCAAAATTCCTATCTAAATAATACTCCTGATTTATTTGTGTTTTGTTCCATTAGATTAATGCATATAGGAAGAATTCTCTGAAGTAATCTGCAAATTCACTGCATTTTTCATTCACTATCTCTAAATAACTCATGTCTGCAGCTTTAGTGTGATGTAACTGTTATTATACTAATCTTAATTATCACCATTTTAGCTTTTGCCTCCCACACTTGTTGTCATTGTACTCATGTCTGGTTTAAAAACAGGACCTAAGCTAACTGAGGCCAGCAGCTGTCTTTTTAGTATCAGGTTCAGAGTCTAGCACAAAGGAGCACTAGTTCCCAACTAGAACCTCAACATGCTGCAGCACTACAGATGTTAAATGTCATAATAATGATTGTATCTTCCTTACACAATGATTATGAACAAAGCTGTACATCTTTCAAAGAGCTCTTGTTTTTACTTTTCACCAGCAGCTAAAGCAAGCAACACATTTCCATTACAAGATGAAGCTGTACAATCTCATCCAACAAATGATCTCACTCTGACCCTCACACTAACTTTGCTATTAAGCAAAAACAGGCACATTTTCCAATATTGATTCCAACTAATGTCTGATCCTAACAGGCATGATCTTATCGGGGCCCCACTATAATAGAAGGAGTGTCAGAGTTAAACAGAATAGGTTTAGATAAGATCACAATCTTCCTCACCATGATGTGATGCTATCACTGAGTGAGTATAGTATTTGAAGTAATTATCATTAATAGATATTGGCAATAGGAAGAGTGGTCACTGCTAAGATCTAAACAAATTTGTGCATGATAAAATAAAGCAAGTTTTATCCCAATAGTGGATATGTTATACGCCCTAAGAGACTTTGTTGTCTTTATTTTTTTCTTTGAAATTATAGATATTGAATCAAGAGAGAAATATTGAGGAGCAATGTTGCTACATGTTTTTTTCTGTACCTTCTGTTTTGTGGCAAACTGCCACTTCAGCCTTTCTGCTGCTTTCCTGATGCCTTCATTGACCAGATGTCTCATGATGTGTTGTGTGGACAGACCCTGGTCCCAGGGTTTGCCTGAAGAGCCATGGCCAAAGCTGATTTCATGGCACCCTTCCTTGTTAGCCGACAGTGGAGCAGCAGTGACCTCTCTGACAGGAGGTGTGGGAAGCAAAGGGTCATCTTTCTAGACTTTGAGCCCTACAGCTGTTTCCTTACTTGAACTATTCTTTGCAGGAATATGGGCAGTGCCATGGTGGGCTAGCCTAGAGGACTGGTCTCTAAGGTAAGTGTGCGCTGTGGCAAAAGCCACAAGGTTGACAGTCATCCGGCTTGGTTTGGTTTTTGCTTCAGCATTTGTTCTGATTGTAGTAGACTTTCTGCATTCTCAGAAAGACGATGGTACTGTAAAAAGGAACACCCGCTTTGATGTGGCAAATTATACGTGAAACTCTTAAGTCTTTCTCCCCTGAACCTGTCAGCATGTAAGATCAAAACAGCACAGAACGAAAATAATAATTTATAGCCCTGGAAAAAATGTTATCAACCTAGGAAAACTGAGAACCAATATAAAAAAAAGTAAGTTCATAGTTATGCATGTGCTTTTTGTAATGAAACAGCAGAAGCATAGCTAAACTTTCAAAGCCATACAAAAATAATACATAAGGAAAGGGTGTAAATCTAAAATCCCCTTAACTATTCACCATTATAAAAAATAAGCAAGTGTGCATGTAGAACTAAAAGGGCACAATCAGTTTTCCAAGAAACAATGTTGTCTCTGTTATTCTGATAAAAATACTGAACTCTAATATACTATTTTTCATTCTTACAGACATTAGCTAATTAAGAAATTTAAAAAAATTTCTAAATTAATAGCTTACTTGCCAAGATTGCCCAAATATTGGTCTTATACATAGAAACCTACAGGCAGCTTTTCTACTTATCTTCATGTATTTGTCTTCTCAAATGTGTGATTAACTCCAGAGCACTGAAATCTTTTTGATAATCACTGAAGATGAATGTATCAGGACAATCAGCAGCATATGGAACACAGAATGCTGCCAGATGTTAACACACTAAAATAAAGCAGAACCATCCATGTACTCTGTATCTTGTCTAAAAATAATATACTCATTGACCTTAACCCTAACAAACCAGTCCCATCTTCAAGGTCAAATAAAATAACAAATATTTATCTTCTATGGAGAGGTTTATAGACTGTACTTGCAGTGTTCAGTGTCACAAAATGCTAAGCCTACCTCAGCCTTACTGCTTTGAATGAAAGCTTGAGGTGCTCAGCACTAAGCAAAATCAAGTCCTAAGTGCATTATTAATCACTGTTGGAAGAAATTTGCGGTCATTTTGCTTTCCCTTTCATTACTTTATATTTTTTTCAAAGACTACACATGGAAGCAGAAAAACATCTAGGTAGAGTAAAAAATACAGGCATATAATTGTGATGTCTAATGCATACTTCATTTGGAAGAGATTTGCAAATGCTCTATGTTGCCTTGAAAGAATAACTTCAGCCGTCTTTGTTATCCCAATACAAGTGCAAATATCAAGGTAGCATACTGCTGCAGCTCTCATGAGCCTGAATACAAGGTTACAGTGGGTCATGGCAGCAAATATCACCCCATCAACGTCTTTACTTCCTCATGCCTTTCAAACCATCCCAAAGGAGACACTCCTGTCCAACAGCACAGCCAGAGAAACGCAGAAAACAATGAGAACATCACAACTCTTTTGGAAGAGTTCAGGAGACCTCACAGTTATGGTAGTAATAGTGAACAGACAGTTAAGCATCTTTGGTATGACTGATAAGGAAATGATTATTTAAGCTCGAAAAGGCCATTTAATCCCAAGTACACCACTAGCCAGAGCAAGCTAGTAGGTGCTACCACAAAGTCACTTAAATCCTGCAAGAAGTGTTAGCAACTGGCTTGGAAGAGGGAATGTGAGGAATGTTAAGGAGGCACAACCACACCAAGTGGTCTCACATTTATGAAGTCGAGTTTGAAAACATGGCTATTCTTCTTACTTTCCATAGCCGAATGTAGTGGTGGAGATGGAAGTGGTTTCAAAAGTAATCAGTGCGTGTGCAGTCATTTACTGCACACAGGTACTGTTTCTATATTCATTTGAGATTTACTAGCACAGAAGCAAAAAATGAGCTCTGAGGATGCCAGTGATGCCAAGAGCCTCTCACAAATATTTCCACATCCAACCCATGGTGTGTTCTCTGTTTTTCAGCCTGGCTAATCAGGGCTCTGGTACCTGATAGTGGATGACTGACTATAAAAATCAAGATTCAGCTTACTCCCTGAGGCCTGCTGTACCACCAGATCAAAGTGCTTACACTTGGCAACCTGAAAATCAAATACCATTGCTCTCACTCCGAAAACGTGTGAAACAGAAGCCTGGGACAATGATCCTTGTAAGTTAGACAGTATTCCTTAAAAAAAGAGATACAGAAAACTTCAAAACAAAGTCCTAAGTAAAACTGAAAATAATGTTTTGAAAAAGCTACACTGACTCAATATTTGGCTATACACAGAATGTTAATTCTAACTGTAGTTAGCCAGAAACTGGATTGGGAAAGGAGAATATTCAGAAGAAAAAAACCCTGCAGGCAGTTGGGAAGGGACATGCCAAAGAAATATAGCAGTTACTTCCTTATCTCTCAGCTAGCCCTTGTTATATTTCAATTAGATTTTGAAAACGGTATCCTATACAGTGTGACCAACTGTCTAGCTTCCTGTAACATCCCATCTGCCATCTTCTACAAAAAACAGTGTCTCATTCTGGCCTTTTAAAGACAATCTTGAAAGATTTTAGCTACCTGCAGGCATTTCTGGGCAGCCAGACAAGCAAAGTTGGCTGCAGACATTTCTCAGCATCAAGGTGCCAAAAGCCACAGGGTCATCTGGTCCTTTTACTTCCCCCACACCACAGTTCAGCTGCGCCTACACCACTCCTCTCGTCTTGGTCCAGCCTGTTCTTAAACACACCAGCCACAGATTTACTGCAACCTCCTGAATCTCCTCCAGCTTTTCAGTCTCATTAACATTAGGAAGTTCTTTCTTGTATCTAATCTAAATCTTCCCTGCGGTTACCTTGCTGGAAGGTTCACTTAATGCCTTCCGTGGTCCATGATCTGGGTGGATCCAAGAAGTGAAGAAAACCCTCTACTGTGGAGGCATTCAGGATTAAGATGGTATTTTTGCTTGGAGGAGGGGACCAGAGTGAGAAGGAAAACAGGAATATGACAAAATAGTGGATCCCAAAAGAGAAAAATACAATTTGGAATGTAACAAATATAAACAACAAGACCCAATATTTAATGTAGCAAATGCAACCACACCCAAGAGGAAAAAACACCATAAAAGTAAATCAGTAAGACTAAGACACACTAGGAGGTCTACTGCAGAATTAAAAATTAGCAATAGTAGAACCAGCCAGCTTCAACACAAGCAGAAAAGAAAGAACTAAGATATTTTGGATCTACTATTGTTTTCTGCTTTATTGCTCTCTTTCCTTTATGCTAATTTGCCCCAGTTTTCTTCCAAAAGTGAGGACAACAGCTTGCAGGAGGGGGAGAGAGGGAAGGATCCTTCCTCACCTCCCCAGCTTTGAGGCACACCTCCCTCAGCTCCCCTAAACTTGTCTTTAGTGTCCTCACACATGGCAGGAGTTCCAGATTTGTGTTTAAAAAAAGTGGTCACTCATCCCCCAGATCAGAGACTGTCATGTGGAAAAGAAAGCTTCAAAGAAGAAAAAGTATTTTTGGAAATGTGAGATGTTTATAAATAAATACATAAATAATAATTATTAACATATGTGAAGTGTCTATTAAAAATAAAATCTTCTGTGCATTTCAAATATCAAATCAAATGTCAAAAACAAGATATAAAAACTAATCTGTGACAGGGAGAATTTTAAATTGTAAGACACAGTCTCAGAGTCAGAATAATCTACATAAACTATGATGATATCTCATAGTTATGTAGTTCATTCTAAATACATCAGTAGTGTTCAGAACGCTACCCTGCCCTTACAGTACAGAAAAGGCAGTATTTTGTCTATGCAAAACTCAGTTATTCCCTAAGTATGCTAAAAAAGCTAAAAAAAATTATAACTATGTTTAATGATTCACTAGTTATAAGGCATTTTGTAAACACATTTAAACATTTCCTCTACTCTCTAGTCTGTGGAATACACAATAAAATGCATTAGTGAAAAGAAAGGAGATAAAAGTTTTATTAATTGGTATTCAGTTATTTAAGATGGGATATGAATATCACAGAATCACAGAATCATTTAGGTTGGAAAAGACCTCTGAGATCACTGAGTCCAATCTGTGACTGATCACCACCTTGTCAACTAGACCATGGTACTAAGTGCCCCATCCAGTCATTTCTTGAACACCTTCAGGTATGGTGACTGCACCAGCTCCCTTGGCAGTCCATTCCACTATTTGACCTTCACCCTTTCTGTGAAGAAATTCCTCTTGATGTCCAGCCTGAACCTCCCCTTGCAGCTGGAGGCTATGTCCTCTCATCCTGTCGCTAGTTGCTGAGAGAAGAAACCAATCCCTACCTTGCTACGAGCTATGAAACAATATAAATATGAAAGTATATAAAATCTGATGGGGCTATGCATATAATTCATCATGTATGGGATATCAGGACACACCAAAAACCTCTATAAAATAAATAATATCATCAGGTAGAGTACTAACTGTGCAACCCTTCCTCTGCTGCAACCGGTCTGGAGCTGGTAGGGAGGGTAATTGATGGTGTCTCCCCTGCTCTTTGCTCTGGAGCCCTAATGGCTGGAGTTAATTGTCTTTTGAGCTTCTCTGGAGTCTGAGGAGCCACCACAGGATGAGACTGATGAACTTTTTCTCCCGGTTTGATAAATGAGGCTCAGGACATTTACAAACTTCACTCAGCACTGAATTTCTCAGGTCAAGCTCTGTATTGCCCATATTTTGGTGGTACAAAGTGGATCTGCTCCATGTGGAAAAGGACACATTTTGCTACTGGCTATGTGATACTACAACATCATTAGAAGAGGAGCTACAGCTGAACAATGATTTTTAGGACATAGTAACAATCAATACTTTCTTCTGACTAGAATGTGCTATTTTTATACAGTCACAATCACTTATATTGTGTGTATATATATGTAGGTATATATACTTTTTTTTTTTTTACTTCTTTATGTTTACCTATATATTCATATATATACCATACTTTCACAGAACACAGTTAATTTGGCTGGTAATAAAACAACCAGAAATACCCTTTATTTCTATCATTTTTGAAAATTTGCAGGCTACTTCTCTCGAGCATATTCAGACAGAAAAGGAAATGATCTTTGGAATTTTGATCATTCCATCACACTGTATGGGATGGCAAGGAGCCACTGTCTTAAGTGAAATCACTGTTCCATTCCTTTATTTGAAGTAATTTTTTTATTTAAATGAAGATAGACAATTATTTCAAATATTGTTATTGTTACTATCATATGGTACCTTGATCTGCATTTCTATTAACACAAACAAATTTTGGCACCACCAAAACGTGAATTTTCTTTTCACACCAAAATTTTCTCTACAACACACTTTTATTCCAAACAACTGCCCACTATTGCCTCTATGAATCTTATGGAAAGCACCCTTGATGTTTTCATAATCCTGTGCATTTGTATGTCCAGACAGCACATCTCGACAACATACTGAGTGGAACACAAGTGCTACCACAGTTCCACAGGCAACAGCATCACAGTGCTTTTTTCCACTACCAATGTACTCTAAGGCTAACTACCCTTGGGCAGGCATAGCTTTATATGTAATAGCCCCAAAAATACCCAGGAGTGTCCAGGACATTTTATTTTCAAGTGTTCAAAGAAAGAGCACAAGCCTTTGGTTCTTTCATTTCAGTGTCCATTGTAACAACCAAATACTTGGCCTAACAATGCAAACATTTTCACAGAAACAAGCACCTTCGTAGCTTTATGTTCCACTAAAATGATGAAGCTAGAACCTTCCATGCTTGTTCTATGAATGTGAAACTGCTGAAAAAAAAGTGTCAACATTTTAGAAACTGAATTTTATTTCAGAATAAAAAAATAGTGTTAACATTTAGTGAGAAGGAAGGTATTTCAAAAACTGCTGAATATTCAAATCTGACATTTTATATCTGCTTAGTCTATAATACTTATGTTTCATAAATAAGAAGAGGTATCACTATAAAAAGCATGAATTGAAAAAATTTCCTCAGAGGGTAACATTATTGTTAAATTTCTCATTTTAAATATGAGTATAGAACTAGTGTCTTTTAGGTATTGCAGTGCAATGAGGTACATGACTGACCTTAAATGGAGATAAATTATTTTTCTTGTATGAAGTTTTAAAATAAGACTACATCCCATTCTAAAATTTGTGTTATAAATTTAGCAAAATCTACACAGCAAAATAAGTATTTGAGTCTTAAAGCCTGTGGTACAGAGAAGATTAGACTAGCTAGAAAATTATTAAGACAGTCTAGAAGCACAAGAATATGTTGCTACTGAAATTTATTGCAGTGATTCTCTCCAAACAACTTGTCTTGTGGGTCCTTTCCAACTCAGCATATTTTGCGATTCTGTGATCCTAAAGTGTAAGAGCCTGGCGCTTTCAGATAGCATCTCCCTCTACTGATGCCTGAGAGGCCTTGGACCAAATTTTCCTGCCTTTTTTTTCTGTTCTAGGCTCCTGACTTTGCCTCCTCTCTCCTGCTGGGCCATCCCCTTGCTCTGCTCTCAGCACCCTGGCAATGTGCCCCAGGGTACATTCCCACTTTCCGTAAGACCCTCTACTGAAATGAAGCTTGCCAAAATAGGACAGAAAGTTTATTGAGTTTTCTCCCAGGGAACTAAGTTAGTTTAACGGGAATGATTGCAATGTCTACTACTTAATTACAAGAGTATTAGGATAAATTCTGCTTAATGGAGTTGCTTATAGCAAGCAGCAAGTCACTGAATTATTTTTAAAAACCTTTCAAAGTGACCAGTGGTAGTTTTAAACAAATGTTAAAGTACTGCTGTTTTGATAAATAGGTGTCAGAATGCACCATGGGTATATGTATTCCATAAAATGGCTATAGCCAAGGAAAAGATATTAAAAAGCAAGGGCAATTTTATGTAAAAATCCTCTGTTGACATAATACTACATTCTGGAAATCACCCATTCAGAAATGAAGAAAAAAAAAGATGTAATTTCAATCCTGTCTTATTTGTATGTCCCTTAAATATTTAATAGCCTAAAATTACAGCTGTGGTAATGGTGTGCAGCACTAATACCAGTGTACTATTAGCATTTAGACAAAGGTGTAGGATCAAGGTGCTCTTTCTTTTAATGTACCATGTTGCTT